TCCTAAGACTCAGTAGGTGGTTCTCCTCTAGGGCTTCAATGAATGTGAGGAGTGTGTGTGTCAGTAGGTGAGTGTGGGGAGTGTCTCTGAGTCCCCAAATGCAAGAGTATGAGCGTGAGTGTGAGTGAGCGAGCGTGAGCATGTCGGAGCTCTTGGAGAGCTTTCCTCTCCATCACCCACAGCGGAAGTGGGACACCCCTTTGTCTCCACCCCCAAGCCTCAGGGGGCATCCAGCCCAGAGGTCCCACCTGACCCAGGAGGCGCCTGACCCACTGACCCATTAGTCTCTACTCCTCTGCCCCCATCACCCACAGCACAGTGGCCTGAAGTCCCAGCCAGTGTTTGGGGGAGACCAATCTCTCCCAGAGGACATGGTCTGCACACAAGCCTGACACGGGTGGGGTAGTTTCCCATTGTCCCACTCAGCCCAGGGTCTGCAGCTTCTCAGTCACACCGCTTGGCCCAAACAGGGGTCCAGGCCATCATGAGGTCTGCATCGAGGGCCTGGGTGTGCCCAAGGGACATGGATGGTAACACTCTCTCCCTTGACTTCCTTCACCTGTCCACCTATACCTCCACCTGAGGGGCCTGTCTTTGTCCACCCAGCTCCGTTGGGGACATGGATGCAGCAGCCCGATGAGCCCCCAACCCCACAGGTGGGGTAAGAGCCCCAGGGGCTGCTGTACATTCACCGAGACACATGGACACATACTTCCACACATAACAGGGGCTGAGCTGCCCTGCCTGAGGGCACCTGCCTGGAGGAGGGGTGGCGTGTGCTTGTGTCTCTCTGTCTGTTGGCAGCCTTGGGTCTTTGATCAGCTCTCCCCTCGGTGCTGTCTGTCTAGCCTGTTCCTGCATCCCCTCCCCAAGACTGCAGAGCTCCTGCCCTCCGGACACCCCCAGGAGCTCTGGGAGCAGAACTGAGCAGATGTCAGGTGCCCGTGGACCTTGGAAAACTGCCCCCTGATCTTTTGGGTAGACTGGGGGAGAAGCGGTGGTCCTGGGACTCAGTGCCTGGGGCAGGGGTGCTGCCGTCCCCGAGCCAGGAGCGGGGAGGGGAGGGGAGGGACGCCTGTGTGCATTTTCCGGCCCTGACGCAAGCAGCCGCACTTCAGGAGATAAGTGCCCGAGGAGGGCGCCCGGCCAGTGCTGGCCCCGTCCCAGGTCCCAGCGAGCTGCCTCCAGGATCCGTGGGCCTCACCGCCCGCCCTCCTGCTCGCCCGCCTGTAGGGTGCAACTTAGCACTCTGCTCAGAGCAGGTCTTTGTGCCCCGATCTCGCAGGTGCGGGGGTGGCCAGGTCCTTGGCCGGCGCAGCCTGCAACCACATGTGACAGCCGCTGCCCGGTGTGCCCAGCCGCCAAGGTCTCTGCCTTGCATAAAAGGGGCAAGAGGCCGGCAGCTGCAGAGCTCCGTGATCAGCAGGCAGCTCTCCTCGGTGCTCCCAGGCCCCGCTGGCCTCGCCGGCTGCCCAGGACCTGAGATCGGAGGCTGGACCAGGTAAGGTAGAGGCTCCAGGCCTCCCTGCCTCCCTGCCTGGATCAGCTCACACCCACAGGACTCGCCAAGTTCCTGCAGCTCCTCCAGCCGGCCCCGCAGGACCCTCGCCAGGACGGCCACCCCGGTGCCCTGCAGCCGCCCACAGTCTCTCGTGGTTCCTTTTTCCTATGCATATACTTCTTTGAGGGTCTGGCCTAAAGAGGTGTAGGGCATGGGAAAATGGGGCGACGAGGTTCTCCTTCCGCTGCACCACATCCTGACCCGCCTCAACGTCCCTCAAATCAGAAGGCTGTGGGACCCTGGGGGCTTCCTTGCCTTCCTCCTCGGGGGTGGGTCAGATATTGCTGGGTGAGAAATTGAAAGGCTTGTTTTTGTACCAGCCCTAAAGGTGTGGGATGGTCCTGGAACCCCCACCCCTCCCCTCCCCCCTGCCTGATCTTTGCCCAGGAGCTGAGAGCCCTTCCTAGACAAGCCTCACTGGGGGTGTGGGGCTGGGGCCACACGGGGTGACTGACTGGGTCTCCTGTGCAGGCGAGGGTGTGACACGGACGTCAACGGGTCCTACTTCTTACACCTTCATTATACTTTTGTAATAATGAGCAGAGTTGATGTTCTAACCAGAAATGTCAATAAAGCTAATTGCAAGGGAAGTTCAGTGTGGCGTTGTTTTGACAATAAGAGTTTAAAACAAAGTTGCGACTGCTGTGCGCTGGTTTCCTCTAGTCAGTGCTGGTTGGGGGAGGGGTCACACTGGTCAGAGTGGTCCTGTGGAGGAAGGAATCAAAAATACACAGGAAGGGGAAGAAAGGGCTCCCACGCAGGGCCCGGGTGGTTCCTGACCTTGATAGCCAGGGTCACTGGCAGCGGGACACTTCCAGGAGGCCTGGTGGCAGAAGGTGGCGATGGGCGGGCCGGGAATGCCGGGGCCAGACCAGGAGAGCGCAGCACCCCCAGCTCTGCAGCCTGGGCCCGCGTCTTAGCTTTCTGGTTAGGAAAACGACAGGGGAACCCTGTGAATTGGGAGCTTAAACAATGGTCGGCCACGTCCAGCAAATGAAGCGATTAGCTCTTTTATCAGCCAAGGCCCTGCCCAGGCGGCCTCTCCTCTAATCTCACTGATAAGAATTGGCTCCTCCCTCGAAGGACCACAGGCTGGGGGGGCCAGCAGGGATGCTGGGCAGAGCAGCCCCCTCATTCCATCCTTCCGGGCTAGGGAGCTGGGCTGGGGGTGGGCTCTGCTGCTGAGACCCATGAGGCTCTGGTGGGACGCTTGAAAAGAAGGGAAGCAGAGATCACTGTACCCCAATCCATCAGCTGCACTGATCCAGCTGCCCGTGTCCCCTGTGTGGGCTGTGGGCATGGCTGAGTCCAGGATGCCAAAGGCTCTGCCCTGCTCCCCACTTTTATCCTGACAGCGCTCCCCTGGGTCCCTGACTGGCCTGTGGGTCACATGCTGCACCCCAACCCAGGGCTAGGGGCTCTTCTGACAGCTTCTTGGGCAGTGAGAAAGGCACTGGAGTCCCAACCAGGAGGTCGGGCAGAGCAGCCCAGTGTTCTGGAGAGTACAATTAAAAAAATTAGTGTAAAAAAATAAAAAAATCAAGTGTAGAAAGGGGTGCTCAGTGCCACCCCAAGTGTCCTAAGGGGCTGTATCTATTCAGGAAGCCCACCATGTCCACTTTCTTTGTGGGGTTTAGGGGGGCCTGGAGGAGTTCATACCCCCTGAGCAACTTTCCCTGCCCACCCCAAGATCACAGCCTGGGCACCAAAAACTGGGGGGAGGGAGGTGCTCAGGCTGGAGACATGTGCCTGGCCCTGGAAGAAAAAGGGTTCACCTTTATTTTTTCCAACACCTTAGATTGAGTAGATTACCTTTCATCAGATGCTAACAGCCCAGCACAGAACAAGTCCACTCTGGCTTTTGATTCTGTTCACTGAGCCATCACAGACCTTTTAACAGCTTTCAGTGAAGGAGTGGCTTTAAAATGTCTTAAACTGTAAACCCTCCAGAATCTTAAGGTGGGTCCGGGTCCCCTCTGTGCATCAGCACAAGGCCCACACCAGGGCATCAGTGTGACAGACAGACATGTGGACTATCTCTGCAGGTAGATGCCAGGCATGCTCTGCACGCACCCAGTGTCTGTGGGGGGGGATGGCTTGGCTTCTGACACGCCCCAGCTTCGGGCTACTGGGCTTCTTGCTTCCTCAAAAGGCATCGCCAGTCTCCGGCAGAACACACAGGCCCCAGGTTCCCCTGGACAAGGCTGGGCCCAGCATGTGTGCCTGGTTCCCAGGATCTGGGAGGCAGCACATCAGAGGCCGTCTGCTGCTAGAGGCCCACGTTGAGGCCAGCGAGGCTTGTTCCACATGGCAAGGGCCCCAGAAGTATCCAGGGGGCTGTGCTAGTGCCAAGGGCCCAAGCAGGGATGCCCAAGGGTGCAGCAGCTGTAGGTGGCTGCCCAGGGCAGAGGGTGGTGGGCAGAAAACCAGGGGCGTGTAGACAGCTCCAGAGAAGGGGATGTTCAGCTGTGAGTCCTGCAGTTGGCGTTTGTGTTTCATTCGGCGATTTTGAAACCAGGTTTTTATCTGTGGGAAAAGCAAGATCAGAGCAGACGAACAGGCCACCTCCCTAGCCCTGCCTGGCTCGCTGAACCCAGGGGCCCCACCTGCACCTCCGAAAGCCCCATCTTCTGGGCGAGCCTCCGGCGCTCCAGGGGGCCCAGGTATCTGTGGTGCTGGAACGAGCTCTCCAAGGTGCTGACCTGCTCCCCGGTGAAGGCGGTGCGGGCGCGGGGAGGCCGAGTGCTGTCCGTCTCCTTGCTGGACCCTGGGGAAGGATGGAAGGGCACGCAATCCACTTGGCTCCAAGGGACATTGGCCCACAAGAGACACACTCCCCTTGCTCAGGAGGTGCCACAAGCTCCGTGGCTGAAGATGACAGACACGGTGATAAATATGACTGGCGCTTGAAGAAGGGCAGACTGCCTTCTCCAGCCTCACTTTTTATAACAGACCTCCAGTGTTCTGCTGTCCTACTCAGTGTTGGTGACAGCCCCTCTGCCCAGTCAAGTGTGCAACAGGGCCCGGAGGCTGTGGCTCAGGACAGCACGGGGACTCAGAAACCGAAGAAAGATGACTACTGATGGAGCAGTAGTGACACAGACCCTTACCTGACCCACCGCCCCAGGGCACTTGGTTCCTTCCAGAAGAATGACTTCCACCCACCCACCTCCTTCCAGAAAGCAGTTTATTTTGCTTGCAGACAAGGGACTCCTGTTCACCAGGTGAGAGAGGCAGGTGGGGGTAGGGCGGGGGGAGTCCACTCTATGCAAGGCCTATGAGGGGCTGAGGGGGAAGCAGCCTTCATCACCACAAACCAGGCTGCGAGCACCGTGTGTCTGGAAGCCTGTCTTCTAATTTCTAAGTTAGGAGGTGGGGATGGCACTCAGCACCCCACCACGAGGTAAGGTCAGCCAGTGTGGTGGAGATCCTTTACACGGTCTTTATAGAGCACAATTTGCCAATCATTTGTTTTGGGAGAAGCAGATTTTACAACATTAGTTTTCTTTTAAACTAATTAATCAATAAAATTAATTTTATTGATTTCAGAGAGAGGGAGGGAGAAGGAGAGATAGAAGCATCAATGATGAGAGTCACTGATCAGCTGCTTCCTGCACGCCCCCTACTGGGGACCCAGCCCGAAACCCTGGCGTGTGCCCTGACAGGGATTAGAACTGTGACCTCCTGGTTTATAGGTCAACGTTCACCCACTGAGCCACACCAGTCAGGCTCAAAATTAGTTTTAACACTTTCCTGGAGCATCCACCAGAGGAGCACACACTCACTCTGGAGGGGGCTCTGGGGAGTGAAGGGGGTGATTAGCCAGCATGAAGGATTCTGATGCAGGGTGACTGGCAGTTTTTTGTTTTTGGGGGATGGGGGCTCCTGGTTGCTGAGAATTTAAAAATTCACCTGATCAAAGTATAAAATTACTCCATAAAGATTATTTAAACTTTTTAAAAATAAAAACGTACAGGTAATATCAACCCTCACTTTCAACCATATAAGACTTTAAACCTAAAAGTCACATCGAGTGAAAGACAAACTTAGAAAATGTAGTCAGCAAATGACAGAGGGTTAGATAAGCCTCAGGAGTCACCTAGACCTTCCAGAGCAGAATGGGTCGAAGGCAGCGAATTCACATGTACAATTTACATGTACTGAAAAGTAGAGGCTGTGTCTTCAGGAATCGGGGTCGTGGTTGCCCCCAACCAAACCTGCAGGATTCTAGGTAAACTGTGACAGTCTAGGTGCCAAACTGGGCACTCGGCTTTGGGGCGGTGCAGGGGGACGACCACCCTCTGACCTGGGCAGGTTTCACAAGCTTTAAGAGGTACTTATCCGAGACCCTGTGACTCTCGTAGAAATGGGCCCAGGACTCTTACGACTAGAAAACCATGTGCACAAAAGTGCTAACGTCGGCGTGATGGTTCAGTGAGAACCCGCACGAGGGTGGGGACTCCTGGACACAGTCCATGGGCAGCCAGGCCTGGGCAAGAGGGCAAGGGCCAGCCCCTCCAGGAGAAGGGTGCAGAAGAGGAGACTCAAGGGGCCAGAGGAGGGACCCGCCCTTCCCAGGGCGGCTTTTGCGTTCACTTTCCAGAGGGATCAGGCAGAAACCCAGACCCCTGCCCTCGTAAGAATGCCCCTCCTCCCACCGCAGCACACAGGATGCTTCAGGGTGTGTTTGGCTTCTCTCCTCCCGAACCCTCCCCAGCTCTCAGCCCAGTCTGGGAAGAAAGGATCCCTCTCCCCACCCTTAGACCTACCAGTCGTGGACGTCCCTGGAGCAGACACAGCTGAGGACTTCACCTCCTCCATGCCCACGGTTTGAGGGGGTTCCCCATTGTTGGGCACCCTGGCCGGGGCAGAGAGGCTCCCCCAGGAGACCTCAGTTGGTCTGGAGGTGTGCAAGGGCCCTGCGTGGCTGCTCTGAGAGAGCCAGTCCACAGAGCCAAAGCTGGAGGTCGGCTTTTGGCTATGGGGCATGTCGGAGGAGGGAGGCATGCCTGGACGGCGGGGGCAGCTCAGGATCCGCCTCGGGATAGAAGGTGGGGGCCGGGCTCGGGGTCCTCTGCAGGACAGACGTGGAGCCAGACTCTGGGTCTTCCACAGGACAGACGGTGGGGGCTGGCGCCGTTTTGGCAGGGTCTGCCTCAGGTTTAGCAGGGCTGGGCTGCATTTATAACTCAGGAGGAAGAGGGGGTGGGAATCGGATTTGCATGGATGGCTCAAATCCCCCCTAGATAAGTAGCATCTAATTGCCTTCAATTCAGAGGCACAAAGGAGGCCATTCACACCTCCCCTGGCTCCAAGATGTCTGGGGGAGGGGTGGGGCCGTGTGGCTGGGGACTAGTCACATCCTTTCATCTCCCACCCCCACCCAGCTGGCCTAGGCTGCAGGAAGGTGAGGATGGCCGCTTCCAATGTCAGCATCCATGCTGGGGGCTTGTCATGTGGGGTCCCGGGTCCACCTTTTCTCCCCTGGTTCGTTCTCTAGCCAGCCCTGTGGGTCTGTAGTGCTGGAGGTGACAGGTGTACAACTGACAGAGGTTGCTTCAAGTTGAGGGAGTCAGCATCCTGCTGCTATGACAGGGTGGGCCTGGCCAGTGAGAATGAGCGCGTGTCGCATCCAGGCTGTCTGGCTGGGGGGGAATGTAAGGCCAGCCAGACACGGCAGGGAGGGGCTGTCCAGAGGCCCTTCTGTCTCACTATTACCAGCCCCCACCCAGCCTCTAGGCTGGGGCTCTTTATGGAGCCCTAGGAGTTGCCTGTGGATTCCCGTGACACAAAGGAGGAGGGGTCTGCTGGCTCGGGAGTGGGCATCTCCCTCTGCTCCCAGGAGGAACCAAGCAGGAAGGACAACAGAGCCATCACCCTCTGAAGGTCCTGATTCAGCTGCTGCCTCTTTTGCGGCTGGAGGGGAGGGTATGCAGCACGAGTTTCAGGGGGTTACCCTAGGGACAGTCACTCTGTTCCCAATGCTGCTTCACTCCTGACCTGACCAGGTCTGCTTCCAGGGTGCTGGTGCTCTCCGGGAGGCCTTGGGTGCAGCCAGGTGGGCCCAGCGTGGGTGTTGCCCCTCTGACCACAGGCCCCACCCTAAGACCACACATCACCTAGGCCTTTCCTACCTTGGCCTTACTGCATCTGTTTCCTGGATGCCACTGGGCAGACTCATGAGTGTTGGGTCCAAGACCGAAACCTACTGCTCAGCCCTGAGTGCCCCTCGAGAATGGGCTCGGGGGTCGGGTGCAGGCACTGGTCCAGCCCCCAAGCCAATGTCAGGGCTTCAGTGCCGACTGTCAGGTTAGCAGCCTGAGCTCCTGGGGTGCCGGCGCCAGTCTGGGCCAGGCACCGACGGTGGTCCTGGGCCCCTACCCCCACCTTTGGAATCAAAGGGCTTGTGGTCCTTGCCCTGGGATTAACACCCGAGCCCCGCCTCCCCAGCCTCTCCGGCCTCTGGGGACCAGGGACGTGGGAGCCAGACCCTCATGAGCACAGCAGGAACCGGCCAGCGCTGACCCAGGTCTTCCTCGGACCCCTGCACCGACTGTGTCCGGTCACCAGACCCTGCGGGGTGAGCCTGAGGATCTGAATCACTCGCCTGTGTCCCAAGGGGCGTGGGGGACAAAGGCTGAGCCGGCAGGGGCCTGCGAAGACCCTCTGGGACCGACGGGGTGGGGGTGCCTCACAAACTCGGCGAAGGGAAGTCATCCCCCGCCCCATGACTGCGCCACAGGCACAGACGGGCCTCGGGATAAGAGCAACACCTGCTGAGAATCACCGCACTGTGTGCCCAAAGCTCTAATTTATGACACGTCAGCCATTTACATGCCCCGCAGCTTTCCAAAGTCACTCTTAGCACCTCCTCACTCCTGATCTTTCACTGCCAGTCCTTTGGCCTCCTGACCGCATACCCACACCTTCCCCAGCACCCCCACCTCTGCAGGCCGACTTCCTCCCTAATTGGGACCCCCTAATAC